GTGTTATACACTTTTAGCACGATTTAAACTCATGCCAGTCGGCCACGACTGTTATAATGGAAAGTAATTTTCAATTGTAAAATGTGATTCTATTGAATGAATACAATAATTAATTATTATTATATATACATATAAGTATGTATGTATTGCGACATAAATAGTAAAACTATAAACAATTACAATTCATAATTTTACTTTTTATGTTGCATTGATAAGTATTACGTAAAATGGAATAAAATGTTTGAAAATATCTATAATATAAAAATGAATCGCTGAATGTGTTGGTAAGCGCAAATCTCGAGGGCAGCTGAACCGATTTGCCAATTCTTTTTTTAGAATATTCCTTGAAGTACGAGGATGGTTCTTACGGAGACAAAAATTTAAAAAAAATCCTGAAAACGTCTAAAAACAACACTTTTCTATACTCCCATACAAAAGATTCGTAATAATACTTAAAATTCAATGTGAACTTTAATACCTTACCATAAAGTTTAAGTGTTAGTGGAGAGGTTCCCGGAAGGCAAAACAATTGAGTGACGTTAGTATCGTATAAATAATAATGCAATTTTTCTTTGTCAATATTATTAAAAAAAAATATATATATGGTTAACTCTGGCTAATAACTATTTATATCTATTTAAAACGTACCTAGCGACGAACCCGAGCGAAGCGAGGGTGAGCCGCTAGTTTAAATATAAAATGGATGTATTAATTTATATAGGACTACTCCTCGATAAATAGTTTATTAAAGAATAATAAAGAAATCTGTTCTACAGTTGGTAAAGATATTTTTTTAAGTGGTTATGTGGGAGTCACCAGTTAGAAAAACCAGTACTACCCACTAAAACCCAACAGAATTTCTCCCGTCATAATGGAGCATTGCAGGATACGTAAATACCTGTGTTAAGTGTAAGCAAACAAAATTGTTGTTGAATTAAATAACCATAGGTAGCTAATTTCGCACATTATTGTCAAGCGCCGTGAAGCCTTTGAGAATAATGTAAATTAATTAAATATGTTTTAACCTTTATTTTATTTTATTTATATGTAATGTACATGGAATAAAACATAGGGCATCTATCTGTTTTTGTGCTTATCATTTTAAAACCCTTTTTTATTTGAAAATACCTTATTGGAGTAGGGTTTATCACAAATATTTTGTTACGATAATTGGTCGGTTACCTAGGGTAAGGTACCTTTCCCTCCGATGGAATGTTCACCTCACGATGAGGCAGCTCACGTCAATAAGCGGGTGCACCTCTAGGTTTCCCTCTTGTACTTCTCTGATAGCAGAGTGAAACGCTGGAACAACCTCTTTTTATTTACAGTCTGCCCCTGCAGGCCAGCTGTCGGAGCTTCGTAGTTGAGCGCGTACGCAATTCTTTTATATATTTGACGACACGTTTGGCTCAGTGTGTAGTAACCCTACTTGCTGTGCCAGCGGTCGCAAGTTCGAGTCTCGCTGGGGGCATTCATTGTGTGATAAGCACGAATTTTTGTACTCCAGTCATGGGTGTTTATATACACGTCGTGCGTAAATGCATTTCCCAACATTAAAAAAAAAAAATGGGTGTTTATATTTATAATATGTATGTATTTAAAGTTTATATATTATGTGAAGTGTATCAACTATCTGGTATCCATAACACAAGCCTCGTAGCTTACCATGGAACTAGATGGTGCTGCGTGTAAAAAAAAAATCAGGGCATCTAGGGTACTAACATTAATATTGGCATAAATTTGCAGTGGATGGAAGACAGAGACTATATTGTGAGGTCTTTGATATATTACTTCATAAAATTAATTATTAAAATTGTTAGCGTCTTACTAACCATTAAATACTTGATACAACGATTTTTTTAGTGATGTATTATAATATTGTGATGGTGGCTGTCAATTTGGTTCCCTATTAAGGCAATTGCTTAATTTCAAAAAATAGAATTAGCCAACTTAATAATGCAAGCAAGCACATTTATTTACCCATTTGTATTATTGTTTAGCAGTTTAGAAGTTTAAGTGATAATCCATGATTTAACTATATATATTAATCATAATATGATCAGATAATCCTCAGTTTATATTTTAAGCTTTCGTTTCATATTTGATGCATTAGTATACAGCGCAACTTCGATTAATCCTACGAATAAATTACTTCAATGCTCGGAAATAGGTTACAAATATATTTTGTATTAGGCTAATACGATTAGCACATACGTCGTGAAAATGCTAAATATTTCAAGTTAAAGTATCTTTTTAGATTTTTCGCTGATTTATTTTGGTTTTTGGTCCCCCAAGTTTCGAATACACAACTTTTAAGTTTCTAATACCTTAGTCTCTTACAAGACCATGATTACTGTAAACTTGTAAAGCTTTCCAAAGGTCGGGAATCATCAAAATCAAAATAAATCCGCGAAAAAAAACCCCGAAAAGATAGTTTTATTTAAAATGTCAAATATTCGCGTAAATCTAAGAAGTATTATTTTGTTTTGACTTACTATTGCTGTTAGTATTTCAATCAAAAGTAAAATTAAATATAAATTAAATATAATTTAGTGAACATAATATTATTTTCAATGAAATCTATAACATAATTTTATACAACTAGATATTATTTTAAAAAATAAATAGCTCAAAGGAATGCCGGACAATACTGTACAAAATTAACCATTAAATTGGACATGTGAATAATAATTGATTAATTGCTGTTCGTTTAAAGCGAATTTCCAATCATTTGTTCAATATCCTCTCATTGCAAGTCACAATAAATGTATGCTTGAATTATTCTGTAGGATTGATGATTTTCAACGTATTTTTGACTTACATTTGATAGCGTATTGAAATATATATTAACTAGCATTGCCCGCGACTCCGCCCGCGTTTAGATGACCAAAAACCAAATTCTTAGGTTTTACATATTAGTTTACTCTTATATTGCAGTTTTTGTATTTTTTCTCAAAAACGAGATATTTTCCCGCGGTAAAATGTATCCTATACGTTGACCCGGATAGCCAGCTTTCACCATACCAAATTTCATCAAAATCCCTCCAGTGGTTTTTCTGTGATGCGGTAATAGACAGACAGACAAAAATTCTAAAAGCTATAGATTCGGCCTCTGTATCGATAATAATGTTTATTTCAATAAGATTTTCCAATAAATATCTAATGTACAGATTCGGCTTAGTTACAATTTTATTATATGTATAGATATCTTATGCCAAGCGCTATTCGCCACAGTATTAAGACAATGTATGTATGGTGAATATACAAAATACCATAGTTACTGTTATAAAGAAAACTTGTATGAATGTATGTGTTAATACCTAAGATTTAGAACTATTGAACTGAATCTAAAAAAAATTTCATTTACACAAGGCTAAAAATATCTTTGAGAATTAAATTAACGTACAAAACGAGAGCTGAATAATTTCGAATGCTATATGAATTTTAAATATACCTTAATTAAAATACCAACGGTTAGATAGAGAAAAAAAAACCAGCGTACAACTATTATAAATATCCAGTAATTGTAAGACCAAGATTGGTCTCAATTTTTCTTTATTGGAATATTTCACTTAATTTTCAGTTATTTTAAAGCCTCGTATTGTTATCTGAACTTAAGTTACGAGCTCGGAGCAAACGGTATAGTGTGTATTTAAATATTCTCTATGTAGCCTCCTCCGCAAAGGTCAAATGACAGCGCAATGCCTGTCAAAAGAAAACATTTACCGTTTTCACATTGTGCGTGAACGCTATCTTTCAATTTATGTAAGTAATATCTATTTGATTTATGAAAAATCTAACCGTAATATAAAGATTTAACAGAGTATTTATAAATGAATGTTTTTTTTTTTAATATAAGGATATCTAACAAAGCTTACAAAAATCCCAAAAAAATATTACAAGAAGAGCGAATAATTGACGTTCATTTCAGTACAACAATGTTTTTGTAGCCCCAACGAAATAAATTTCGTAGAAATATATATATATATATATATATATATATATATATATATATATATATATATATTATATATCGGTACTTAAAATAACTTACGCACATTAAGTATAATGTACATATTCAAAAACAAATCATGACGCGAGCGAAATGCGTAGCGAATTGTTTCAGGAATGTTTATTAAAAATTTTAAGCATATAAATATACTACTAGAAGCCGCGGCTTCGCTCGCACTAAAACTACAAAAAAATCTCTAAAAAGGTAATTTCATACAAACTTTCATCCTCTGTTTTACCCCCTTTATAGGAAAAATTTCGAAAAATGAAAAAAACACGTATTTATTTAATTTTATTGAAGAGCAATAATACCAAGTTTCAAGTAATTCTAATCATAAATATTTTTTGGATTGTATTATAACGTATTTTCCGGTGGAAATAAGATAATCTCTCTCGGTAAAAAGCAGCCTATGTCACTCTGTTCATTCTCCATTCAATTACGTTGGGTTCAATCCTATTTGAATGTCACGCGGCGGACCTGGCCAATACCAAGGTTCACGTAATGAACATACTGATCGTACTGCATTTTGATTGGTTCCGGGCTGGAATGACTGGTGATGTGTTGCTACCGGTACAGGCGCCGCTATAAAATTCGTTTTCTATTTAAAATACGCCCCACTCGTCTATTCCTGCTCTAAGAGAACGCGCGAACCACATACAACCCTTAACTCGAAGTGAATTCAATAGTGTGAACAGTGTCGCGTCCATATATACCAGCTTATAGCACAAAGTCTGTGCTGGGCTGCCCAACTTAGCTCCGCCGCCATCCACGAAGATACGGCGTTAAACCTCGACCAGGCACCTCGGCTTGGATTGCCACAGTACGACCGGTAAGTGCTTGTTGTTGTCCAGGCCCATTATGCGTTTCATTTGAATATCGTTGAACCGATCGTTTTATCGGCAGAACATCCTCTGATCCAGAGTGTCGTCACCGCACACCTCACTCGTCCTTATTACAATATACAGCCAAATCCGACGAGCTGACTTCTATGGTTCAACGCTTCTGGGAGATTGATAATGTTCCTCAAGCATCAATTCTCACACCACTAGATATGGCATGTGAAAAGGCATATGTCACCGACCATTATCGTGATTCAACAGGCAGATACGGAGTTCAGTTACTTTTTAAGGATGGTATAGAGCCAAAGTTTGAGAATTCTCGTAGTCTTGCTTTAAGGCGTTTCAAGGCCATTGAGAACCGTCTCTCCCGCGATCCGACGTTATATAAGCAGTATTCAGAATTCATGGAGGACTATGAGAAGAGTGGCCATATGACGCTTGTCCCCGTGAAGGAGCTCGGTGAAGGTAAATATTATATACCACATCACTGCATTGTTAAACCAGATAGTAGCACCACAAAACTTCGCGTTGTTTTCGATGCATCGGCCCGAGACGCCAGCGGTAGGTCGTTAAACGACACGCTACTGACAGGCCCTAAGCTTCAGAGTGATATAGTGCAGGTTCTTCTCCTTTTTCGTTTACACGTAGTTGTGTTTTTAGCGGATATACGTCAGATGTATAGACAGATTCTTGTAGCTGATAATCATAGAGATTATCAACGGATTCTTTGGAGGTCTAGCCCTGGTGAAGTTTTGCAGGAATACAGGTTAAATACTGTCACCTACGGAGTCTCCTCTGCACCGTTTCTAGCATGTAGAACTCTTAAACAGCTAGCTGAGGATGAAGGCTCTGCATTTCCTCTAGCAAACCAAATTCTGCATAGCGAGATTTATGTTGACGACATTGTAACCGGTTGTGAGACTCTGGACGAGGCTCTAGAGGCTAAAGCACAAATTATAGAGCTTTTGGAATTAGGGCATTTCCAGTTGAGGAAGTGGGCCAGTAACATACCAGAGTTACTTTCTGATATTCCTCAGGAAGAATGTCTGCTTAGTTCCAAAACATTTACCGGCCATGACTCTTGTAGCCTAAAGGTGCTTGGTTTAAAGTGGGAGCCAACTACCGATACATTTTCCTTTGATGTTAAATCTTCAATCCGACCTTGTACAAAACGAGTTATTCTTAGCGAGATCGCGAAGATCTTCGACCCCTTAGGTTTCCTTGCACCTCTAACCATCAAGGCGAAGTGCCTCTTGCAACGGCTCTGGCTGCTTGGTATCGATTGGGACAGTGATCCACCCGAAGATGTGAATAGCGTGTGGGAAACATTTTGCAATCAGCTGTCTATATTAAAGGACCTGCGTATACCACGGTGTATGACAATTAACAACACTTTAACGTACGAATTACATGGATTTTGTGATAGCTCGGAGCTTGCGTATGGAGCAGTTATTTATATTCGAGTTTCAACTGCAGACGGATTAACACAAACACGATTAGTATGTGCCAAAGCTCGAGTAGCTCCCATTAAGAAAATCTCTTTGCCTCGATTGGAGTTGTGTGCAGCCGTCTTGCTGTCAAATTTAGCAAAATTTGTGCTGGATACATACTTAACAAAATTAACGCTCCACGCTATTTATCTATGGTCTGACTCGACCGTCGTCCTATCTTGGCTTCGTTCACACTCCTCTCGATGGACCACGTTCGTAGCTAATCGTGTGGGACATATCCAGGATATTTTCTCTACGGAGGTATGGCATCACGTAGCGTCTTCAGACAATAATGCGGATATTTGTTCACGTGGGAATCTTCCTTATGATCTATTTCATAACTCATTATGGTGGTCAGGGCCAGTGTGGCTAGTAAAACCGTCCGATCAATGGCCAACCAATAGAAAACCTTCTCAATCTTATAGTTCTGAGGACGAAAACATCGTAAGAGCTGAAGAGCGCCGTACAGTTGTTTTGGCTACTTGTTCAAAAGATGAGTATGGCCCTCTTATCCTCAATTTAATAAAATTATATTCGTCGTTAGAAAAAATAATGCACATCGTTTCTTATATTCGACGATTTATACATAATACGAAAAATCCACATGATCGTCATAGAGGCTCAATTCTAACTGAAACCGAAAATCATAACTCATTGTTATTTATCGTGAAATTTGTCCAATCTTCGTCATTTGCTGGTGAACCACTACCAAAACCGTTGTGTAAATTAAATCTGTTTCTGGATGAGGATGGTATTCTCAGGGTGGGCGGTCGGATATCCCGTGCTGGTCTTGAATTCGAACACCGACATCCCGCTCTTTTACCTAGTAACCATGAATTTACTTATAGGGTTATCGAATCCATACACCGTCAACATTGCCATACGGGGCATAATACTACGCACTACTTAATATTGCAACGGTTCTGGATATTGTCAGCTAAACGTGTTATACGACGTTGTCTTTCCCAATGTATTAGATGCTTTAGAACAAAACCTAAATCGTTAGAGCCATACATGAGCGATCTTCCTTCATTTCGTGTTAATCAAGTGAAACCATTTTCTATCGTGGGTGTTGACTTCGGCGGACCTTTCCGTATCAAACAAGGTACACATCGTGGAGCCAAAATAGATAAAGCTTATCTCTGTTTATTTGTATGTTTAGCTACAAAAGCCGTCCATTTGGAAGTCGTATCATCGTTGTCAGCTGATGGATTTTTGGCAGCATTGCGTCGTTTTGTTGGACGTCGTGGTCGTTGTAATGTGATCCATGCAGATTGTGGAACAAATTTCATAGGTGTGAGCAATCATCTATCCTTACTAAAGAATGCCTTGCATACGGAACGAATTAAATTTGAATTTAACCCTCCGTCAGCCCCTCACTTTGGTGGTGTGTGGGAAATTCAAATCAAAGCGGCCAAATCTCATCTGTATCGCATTATAGGTAATCAGGTTTTAACTTTCGAAGAACTGTCCACGCTATTTGTTCAAATTGAAGCAGTGCTAAATTCGAGACCTCTTTATGCGTTAAGTACCGATCCAAATGACTTAAATGTTCTAACTCCTGGTCATTTCTTGACTTTAGAACCTCTTACGACCGTCCCAGATGTAGATTATACTAATATAAAACTTCATAGATTAACCCGTTGGCAGTTAATTCAGTCCTTCCTACAGAATTTTTGGATTCGTTGGAAAAACGAATATTTACACTCATTAACCTTACGTGCTAAATGGACAAAGACCTCTAAGCCACTCGATGTAAATGCTGTTGTTTTGATAAAGGATGACAATCGTGCTCCATTGCAATGGTCTTTAGGAAGGGTGACGGAGTTGCATCCCGGTCCGGATGGTATCGTCCGAATAGCAACCGTTAAAACTAAGGAAAGCTTGATTAAACGACCTCTTGTAAAGCTATGCCCTCTTCCTATCGAATCGTAATTCACATGATCTTGAGCTATTGTATACTAAACTAACGTTTTTTAACATATATCATATTTTATACTATAACATTATCAGTCGTAGCATATATTATTCGTAACACATACATATACAATATACCTTATACTATTATTTATTTTATACTTAGATTATCGTTTTTTTTTTTCTTTATTATTATTTACCTATTAATCTGGAAAATACCAGCTGTATTTTGGTGGGCGGTATGTTCATTCTCCATTCAATTACGTTGGGTTCAATCCTATTTGAATGTCACGCGGCGGACCTGGCCAATACCAAGGTTCACGTAATGAACATACTGATCGTACTGCATTTTGATTGGTTCCGGGCTGGAATGACTGGTGATGTGTTGCTACCGGTACAGGCGCCGCTATAAAATTCGTTTTCTATTTAAAATACGCCCCACTCGTCTATTCCTGCTCTAAGAGAACGCGCGAACCACATACAACCCTTAACTCGAAGTGAATTCAATAGTGTGAACAGTGTCGCGTCCATATATACCAGCTTATAGCACAAAGTCTGTGCTGGGCTGCCCAACTTAGCTCCGCCGCCATCCACGAAGATACGGCGTTAAACCTCGACCAGGCACCTCGGCTTGGATTGCCACAGTACGACCGGTAAGTGCTTGTTGTTGTCCAGGCCCATTATGCGTTTCATTTGAATATCGTTGAACCGATCGTTTTATCGGCAGAACATCCTGTTCTGATCCAGAGTGTCGTCACCGGACCCTCGGCAGGTCCGTGTCGCCACACACTCTCCAGCCCTCCAACTATCTCCACACAAAAAATCACGCCAATCCATCACTCTCTTTCGACGGGAAAGAAGGACAAACAAACAAACAAACACACTTTCACATTTATAATATTAGTATAGATTATATATGTTTATGTATGTATCCAAATAATATTAAAGTCAAGGTCGACCATTTAAAAGAAAACACAATGTTTTATGTGTATATTTTTTATTGATGGATTGGGGTCGATAATTACACAGCCGTAACTCCACGAGTGTCAGCACAGATAAGAGTACTTCTGAGCCTCTAATTGGAACGTGCACGGTTTTTATCATGAAAGAAAATATTGTAACCTTTTCTTTATTTGCAATTATTTCATTACCGGTATCTCATATATGATTTTTTGCAACATATTAGTCTCTTACAGAAATATCTTGGATATCCGAAAAAAGTAGCCTATGTCACTCTCCGGTCTATAAACTGTCTATGCAAAATATTAGGCCGAACGTTTTTACTGTTGCTGCAAAAAAAGAGGAACAAAACAACAAACACACTTTCGCATTTATATATTACTAGCTACTTATTCTCGCGTCCCTGTGTGTCTAGCAATAGTTTATTTTTACATCATTATCATGTTATCTACGCACTAAATTTCATTTCAAAGTCAAGTAATTTCAGCGCAAAGAAGTAACAAACATACACACATACAAACTTTCACATTTATAATTTCCCGATTACTAAGGATAGTTTCGCATTTTTCTATATCATAGGTCATGTTCGTTTAGTTAAGGTTTTTGACGTTGAAATCATAGCATCAAATGTTTCAGAAAACTTAAAAGAAAGTAAAATATGACATAGCAAATAAAATTATCAAAAGCTGTAATTCTACTATATTTCATAAATTAATAGAAGAATATAAAGAAAAACATCGTGAGGAAACCTGCATGTCTAAGAGAACCCAGCGAGTTTTCGAAAGACATGTGAAGTCCGCCAACCCGCACTTGGCCAGCGTGGTGGACTATGACCTGATCCCCCTCGTATTGAAGGGAGGCCCGTGCCCAGCAGTGGGACGTTAAAAAGGGCTGAATACAATACATACAATCATTTTGACCTCATAAATATAACATTTGTAAATATTATATTTAACCATTCAATTGTAAAGCATTTTGCTTTAATATAATCATATTTTACATCGCATTGCGTGCAAGTTTATACAGAAAATATTTCAATTATTAATAATTTAAATATTTTCGTTTAATTTTATTGTTAAATCATTAATGTAAAAATTGAGTGACATTTTGATTAAAGATCGAAACATATGATTAAGATTTATTAAATCTATTTTGTATTTTGTTTCTTTCAATGTAATTTGCTTCTATAATAAAAAAAAAACAGTCTTTATTTAACCAACACAATGGTAACAAATACACACAGCCCTAACTCCTGAACTAGAAAATTGTGTTTCAGGAGCTAGTACCTTCCCATATCAGGCGTACATATTCATTGCATGAAATTACGTTATAATAAGGTAAGTTAATGTAAACAAAAAAGGAAAAAGAAAAAAAATATATTAAAAATACTTCACGTATTTATGAGTATGTACTTAATTATAACTATTTGTTTAAATTATGTAATTGAACTAATATAACACTATAGTTAACTATTGATGCTCTTTATAACTAGTTTTCTGAGATATCAGAAATCAGAAGCCAAGTCAAAGTATATCGAGCATGACCTATAGCGAACCTCAATCGCTACAGCCGCATCGATCTGCAGATTAAACCGACGTGTGGAGCTAAAGTTCAGCTTCATACAATTTACAGAACACCCGATTAATCTCTAAATAATATTTTAAAAACCAAGACGTGCCTTCATACTTACTTATATATTTTGTATCGAAAAGACCGTTGTTTGTTTATCATAGGAATATATATGAAGGTGAAAGGGGGTAAAATAAAAATAGTATATTTTTTTTAGTTTATATGAGACTAGCGACTCACTCTCACTTCGCTCGGATTCGTCCCTAGGTTTATTTCCCATACAAACTTTCATTCCCATTTTCACCCCCTTGAGGGATGATTTGCGAAATAAAAAAATACCCTATGTCCTTTCCAGGGCCTCAAACTATCTTCTTACCTTTCATCTAAATTCGTCCAGGAGTTTATGAGATTATTCGTTACAAACATACAAAAATACAAAATATCTTTCCTCTTTATAATAGTAGTGTAGATGTAGATAAAGCTCTCCCTTGGAAGTATACACTAAAACAAAAAATGTTAACAATAATATATTTTTACGATCTAAGCAAGAAAGAAAATAATGCAAAGCTTAAATGCTGAATATTGAACAATATCGTATTTGTATTTTGCTTTAAAAGGGAATGTAATTTGTATAATCTGTTTAGCTACAGGTCGTGAATTCGATTTCCACGTTATGTGATTTAACTAAGCTCCCTATTTACATATTTATTGTTTGCTTATATCCTTTGCAAAAAGAACAGAGTCTACAACGATTTCTGCGTACCTCTTTCGCTTCTTACAATTTAATCAGTATTTTGATACATTTTCATAGGTCC